TCTCTTCTCTCTCTTCGTTCTCGGTGCCTGTCGTCTTCTCATTTTGGTAATCGTCCTTCTCGTGTTGATCCGCCTTACTTCTTCAGTTTTTCCCTGCCCCCCTTTCCCCGCAGACAAATGCGCGGCTTCGCTTTTCTCTGGTTGTTCTTGACGCGGCGAAGTCGCGATTTTTTCTGGGTTTACGAGGGGCGGGGGCACTGCGAGCGACTGAGGAAATGTGTGTGTGTGTGTGGGGGCAAGGATGAGGAGAGAGTGGGGGAGGAAGAGCAACGAAATGGGAGGGGGGCCGAAGGTGCGAGGTTCGAGGGCTGCGGGCAGACAGGCGCAGTGGCCCTTTGCCGTTGTCTGCAAGAGAGGGAGTGGGGGGAGGTCGGAAGAGGAAGCAAACGAAAGGAGAGGCGCGGGTGCGCGGGCGGAGGGCTGCTGACAGGTATGTGCGGTAGTTTTCTTCGGTCGTTTATGTGCAAGGCCGTCGTGGGAGGGCCTCCTCCCAGATTGCTTCTACTTCGGACGAGTTGTGCGCGCCCCTAGAGCTGGATGCCAACTCGCGAATGCCATGTGCACTCCCGCGGCTGTTGTGCGACGCGCTGGCCACTGGTGCAGACTGTGTGCGGGCGCGCACTGGAAAGTCCAGTAACCGTTGCGCGTGCTGTAGCTCTTGCCTGAGTGGTTGTCCAGGCCGCTGGGTTAATGCATGGTGCAGTTTGCGTCTAACGTCTGAGACGCTGCTCCCTGGCCTCCTTCACAACACGCCTGTCCACCACTTCTGCCCGAGCGCTGGCCTCCTTGATTTTTTTCATGCAAGGGAGGAAAAACCGCCCAGACCCGATATTTGGCGTTTGCTAAATGGCCCCGCCGGCGTCGGCGGCGGCTGGCGGCGGCGGCGGGGGTGCTGGTGGTGGTTGTGGTGAGGTGGTTTGTGGTGGTTGTAGTGGTGGTGGTGGGTTGTGCTGATGGTGGTACTTGTGGTGGTTGTGGTGGCTGTGGTGGTGGTGTGGTGGATTGTGGTGATGGTGGTGGTAGTTGTGGTGGGTTGTTGTATTGCTGGTTGTGGTGGTGGCTGTGGTGGTGGTGGTGGTGGTGGTGGCTGTGGTGGTGGTGGTTGTGTGGTGGTTTGGTGGTGGTGGTGGTGGTGGTGGGTTGAGGTGGTGATGGTGGTGGTCGTTGTGGTGACGGTGGTGGTGGTGGCGTGGTGGTTTGTGGTGGTGGTGGTCGTGGTGGTGGGCTGTGGTGTTGGTGGTGCTGCTGGTAGTGGTGGTGGTGGTGGTGGGCTGTGGTGTTGGTGGTGGTGGTGGTGCTGCTGGTAGTGGTGGTGGTGGTGGTGAGTGGTGGGTGGTGGTGGTGGTGGTGGTTGTGGTGGTGGCGTGGTGGTTTGTGGTGGTGGTGGGTTGTGGTGATGGTGGTGGTTGTGGCGGTGGTGGTGATGGTGGTGGTAATGGTGTGGTGGGTTGTGGTGGTGGTGGTTGTTGTGGTAGGTTGTGGTGGGTTGTGGTGGGTTGTGGTGTTGCTGGTGGTGATGGTGGTTTGGGTGGTGGTGGTGTTGGTGAGGTGGTTTGTGGTGATGGTGGTAGTTGTGGTGATGGTGGGTTGTGGTGGTTGTGGTTGTGGTTGTGGTGGTGCCGGTGGTGGTGGTGGTGGTATGGTGGTCTGTGGTGGCGGTGGTGGTGGTGGTGGTGGTGGTGTGGCCTTCGGCTCTTCCCGCCATTGTGTTTTGGCAAAGGGTCAGAGTTCTAATGGATGCTTCTTGAGGTCTCGTCAGAAGGGTCTTGGGGGCGTTTGAGGAGCGTGCGAGGGCTCGATCTGGCGATTTGTGTGTTCCTTCTGCGGCCTCTGGGCCCTCTCTGGTTATCGTCGCTGCGTCCCCGCCGTCGGCGCTGCTGGCCGCCGCCAGCGCCGGCGCCAGCGCCAGCGCGGGGGGGGGGGCGGTGTGAACACCCCCCCTTTTCCTGGTCCCTCTCTGGTCATCGTCGCTGCGTTGGCGCTGCAGCGGCTGCCAGCGCCGGCGCCGGTGCCAGGGGGTGTGGGGGGGGGTTTTGGACCCCGGCCCCCTTTGGGAGGGGGGTGGGCGGGGGTTCGGGGGGGGAGGTTAGGGGGGAGGGGAGTCCCCCTGGTTCTGATCGACGGCGCCGAGTGTTGGAGGGGTGGGCCACCCCCTGGTTCGAAACGCGCCGCCGAATGTTCCCAAGACAAACGCCCGTGAAACGCGCTCTCTCACAAACAATGGTCCTTGCCTTCTCCATGGCCTCCTCGTCCTCCTTGCCTTCGCCATGGTCGCTTGGAGCCAGCCCCTGCATTCGCAGGCGCCTTGGATAAAGCTGGGCGGCATGTCTTGGGCCACCCACTTCTCCTGGAATCAGCAAGGAGTGCGCCAGGGTGCAGCCTCCGTGGAGGCCGTCCTCCTTTAATGCCTCACGCCGTATCGCGCCGAGGGACCCGTCATCACGATTCTGCCGTCGAGGTGGCCTTGGGTAAAGAATCTAGGGACTCGCAAACAGTGGACGGCAGGTCGTGGGCCACCTTCTCTTGGAATCAGTAAGGAATGCGCCAAGGTCTAGCTTTCGTGAAGGCCGTCCTCATTCAATGCCTCACGTCGTATCTCGTCGAGGGATCGCCCGCCAAGATGCATTCACAAAGTCCGAAGGTCCGACAAAAATACCCCCCGAGCATGGTCCTCGAAACTCCAACCCCATGCCGCATGGCACATGGCTGGAGTTTCGAAGACCATGCTCGGGGGGGCGATGATTGCTAGGAACCTGGCGAAAAAGGAAAGGATCGAGAAAAGAAGAGAGAACAAGAGAGAGAGAGAGAGGGAAGGAGCGGGATACATAGATAACAAAATAACGAACGACATATAATATGGAAAGAAGTGGATCGCGCTGGAAATAAACAACATCAAATCATCACTCAACAACGAAGAGCGGAGGAGCGTTTTATTCGATATCAACTTTATGAATACGACGAGGGGCTCCACAATCCCCCGGCCTCGAGTTCTCCTCCTCTTCCTCCTCCCCTTCCTCCTCTTCCTCCTCCTCCTCCTTCTCCTCCTCCTCCTCTTTCCCTCCTCCTCCTCCTCCTCCTCCCTCCCCATTCTTCTCGTTCCTCAGGACGTCGGCTTACGCCCTCTCGGCTTTACTAGGGAGGCCTCCGACACAGATCATGCATCCAGGATCTTTAGGATGCAACTCCTAGGAGGTCAACTTCAGCAACGGCGCTGGTATATCGGTGGCCGAAAACCAGCCCGATCCAGCACAATCCAGAAACATTCGACCCAATCCCGCCTAATCCGGCTTAGTTCAGCTGAATCCCCCGCTTAATCCGGGCTGATTCGGCTGAGTTGGCCCTTTCGTTGGGCACATAATAGCCCTGAACCGTTCTGACGAAGGCCTCCCAGACGTTGCTTCCTACGCATCGGTGAGGTCGGCTGACGGTCCTGATCTCCTCCTCCTCTCTCCCCTCCCCCAGACATCCGACGTCGTTTTTTTTTTTTTTTTTTCACAACGTGGCTCCACAGAGGTCTGGACCCCGTCACTGGGACCGCCTTTTCATCTTGAGTCGCTTTTTGACGGTGCTGGGGCCCCGCGAGGGTTCCCAGAGACCGAGAACGGCCAAAATCAAAAAGTAAATAAGGCGTACATATAATTCTCGGAGGTCCGCGCGGATTTCTTGGATCGGCGTCGGGCCCCCCATACGGCGCCGCTCACGGTGCGCTTCGCGCGCTAGGGAGGGAGTCCAGCGCCGATCCAAGAAAGCCGCGCGGACTTCAGATGACTTCTTGCTATGCCGTTTTTTGCTCTCTACGCAGACCTCCTGTCGTGGCCTTTCACAAAGCGAGGATCTCAGGGCTTCCCAGCCTCGTTGCCTTGGGATGCAACTCCTGGGAGGTTCATTCAGAATCGGCGCCTATCCCTGGTCGAAATCTGGCCGAATCTGGCTGAATCACGGCTGTTCCGGCTCAATCCTGCTCAATCCGGCTTCGTCCTGTTCGATCTGGCTTGATCCCACACTTGGTCCGGCCTGATCCGGCTCAGTGGCCTCTTCGTCGGGCCTGATAGCTATTGATCGTCCTGGCGAAGACTTTCGGGTGGGGCTAGGACGAGGATAAATCTGTTCCAGAGCGTTCTGAGAAGGCCGCGGCGCCCGAGACATCCTCCAGAGCCGCTGGATCTTAGAGATCCTCGATTTGTGGTCAGCCGATCCTATCCTCGTCCTGGCTTCGTCGAAGGTCGAGAGTTCGGGTAGTGTCTCGTCTTCGCGGCGCTGGTGTCTCCCCTCGACTCCCCCGCAGAGCCGTGCCCTCAGGGCTTCTCGACCTATCCCCGCCCGAGTTTATCCCCGTCCTGGCTTCGCCTGGTAGGCTCCACCAGGGGTTGCCTTCTGAGTCGCCTCGCTGTCGCCGCCTGGGGGGGGGGGGGAAGGTTGGGGGCGGCGGGCGGCCGCCCGTCACCACCCACCAGGCCACCCCAACCCAACCCGAAGGCCCCGACTTGCCATCCATTTCTAGTGGGGGGGGGGGATCGGGGAACATCGAGGAAACACACATGGAACCCTCACCTCAGAGCGTGAATTACCTACCCCGCCTTCGGTTCCAGGAAGAACCAAGTCGTACCACGCGCCTCCTCGTCAAGCGACCTGACCAGCACAGGCCGCAGTTTGGCATCGCTTGGTCTCTCTTGGAAGCGAGGGTGGTCAAATGCGAGGCAGGTTTGTTTTCCCCCTCTTACCCCCCCACTTCTTCTTCCCCCCCCTCCCCCCTCCCCCGGCCTCAACATGTTCTTCTTCTTCTTGATCTTCTTGATCTTCTTCTTGTTCTTCTTCTTCTTCTTCTCCTTGTTCTTCTTTTTCTTGTTCCTCTTCCTCCTCCTCCTCCTCCTCCTCCTCGTCCTCGTCCTGGCCCTCCTCCCCCAGCCCGCCATTCGGGCCCTCGGGCTGGGCTGGGGTGGTCTCGTGGGCAGTCACGCCCGCCCGCCCCCGCCCTCGCCCCGCCGAGCCCTCGCCGCCAGGCCCTGGCCGCCCAGGGCAGACCGGCGGGGCCCGTGGCGCTCAGGCGGCGCCGCCCTGCTGCTGCTGAGCCTCCTCGCCCCTCCCGCCTCCGCCTCCCTCGTCGTCGTCGTCGTCCTCGCACCCCCCTCCTCCTCGTCCTCCTTCCTCCTCGTCGTCCTCGCCCTCCTCGTACCCCCCGTCCTTCCTCCTCCTCGTCCCTCCTCCCTCCCCCTCCCTCCCCGTCATCGTCGTCCTCCTCCTCCCTCTCCTCGTTCTTCCACTCCTCTTCCCTGCCTCCCCCCCTGCCCCCCTCTCCCCCTCGCTCAGATGAGATGCTCTGCCGCCGTTTGGCTTCAGCGCCGGCGCGCACTGGCAGTATCGAGGAGTCGAAGAGCCCGCTGTCTACATCTCATTGTTCGGAAGAGGAAAACGCACCCATACCTTTACCCTTCGCCCGTTTTCCTCTTTTTTCAGCCTCCTGAGAGGCCCTCGTCGCCACCGCTGGATTCGCCTCGAAATGTTGGTCAGAATGCACCCTGGGAGAGGTCCAGGGAGGAGCGGTATCGGTGCCTGTTGGTTCCCCCAATTGACGCAATGCTTTCTCTCGTTTAGCTTCCAACCTTCGCAAGTCTAGCAGGTAGCGGAGCTGGGAATGTACGCAGAGTGCGATGCGGACGCACATCTGCACTTCCACATTGGTACCACCCTCCAATCCCTGAACAGCCTGTGCCTATGGCTGTTCTGCAAGTCTTCGGACATTTCGACCCGGACGCCCACAGACAAGCAACATCGTTCCAGTCTTGGTGAAGATCTGGTTGCGAGGGCAAAAGCAGCTGCAGGCTACGCGATGTAGAGCGACCGCTCACGGGAATGCCACGACGTTTCCCACGAACCATCGCACCCCGCAGGTACTGGCCGTGGTTTCGCGTCGGGCATGACGGCGAAACTCTTGCCTGGGCTAATTAGTGCCGTGCCTCGTGATGTGTGCGACAGTGTTGGCTGTCCTTGCGAGCGCGTCGCGCCACCCGAATGGAACATTCAATGCTGATTCACCATTCTCACCACCCTTGGCTTCGACCAAGGTTGTCAACACAATTACGGTTGTCCCCAGCTTCGACATGGCGTTCGTCCCTGCGCAGGCCCGAGTCCCAAGGCGCTTCCGCAGCTCTAGTCGTGGTGGAGTCTTGTCGAGGAGGATCTCCATCTAGACGTTTTGGGACAGCATCCGCATGTTCTTCGTGACCGCCCTTTCCTGGCTCACCTGCATGATGCCTGGTGGAGCCGGCCCACAGGGCGGCGGAAGCGGCCGTGGTGGGATCGCTTCCCGCCAGCCGCCCTCATGGTCACTTGAGCGCGAATCAGCGTATCCACTTCGCCTCTGGGTACAGGGCTTGCTCGCGTGGAGCGTGCTCGCCACACACATGGACGGCGCCCAACAGTGCGTTGCCGTTCTCCGTAATCTTGGCGGAACCGCTCGCGAGCTGACGCGCTCCATGAGCTTCGCGGACATGACGGAGGGAGGCATAGTGAACGGCCAACATGAGGCCGCTGTGACATACCTCGTGGCGAACCTTGCCAGTCAGTTCGGTCCACTAGGCGAGGGGTCGCGTCCCCAGGACATCCGCGAACTCTTCGAATTCTCGTGGCGCCGCAACGAGACCACCGATGCGTTACTCTCGCCTTTTCTCTCGCCACGATTCCTACGCACCACGGTGGAACGGCGATGTCTTGAGAAGGCTGCAGTTCGCTGCTCTTCCGATCGGTCGGCTTCGCAGCTAGCCAAGTCATGGCTCTGCTCCGGCCTTGCGGCAATCGGTACCCAGCCAAGGACCCTGAGTTCAACAGTCTCACGACGATGCTCAGGCGCGTGGGTCACTGCGTGGAGCATGCACGAAACAGCATCGCCAGTGCTCTTCGTTCGACGCCGTCGTTCGGAGGCTTCGCGGGCATGACCAACGACAAGACTCACGACGCACCCACAACGGACCCCTGGCACACTCAGGGCTTCAACCCCTGGGCAGTCAGCGCCGCCGGGCTCCCTAGTGCTGGAGGTGCCATGACGTACGCCATTTGCCCGTTGCAGAGCGCCATGCAGCCGCATACAGCGTACCCTGCCGCCGCATTGGCGCCCGTGGCTGGGGCCGACTACGCCAGCAGAGCCTCCTCAGGCACCAGCTCGGGCTTAGACGAAGATGTCAACTATCACCCGACAAAACTCCAAAGCCTGAGTCCTTCTCAGATAGATGCGCAGTTGTTTTGGCAGATTGAATCGGCGAAGCGCCAGCCCTCAGGGCACTTCATCGTCACTACAAGGCAGCGGCAAAGGCGGCCAGCCCAGCTCGGAGGATACGCGGACTCTGGACGCATAGCTGAACCCGTGGCCAGTATCCCAAGAGTCGCTTTGAGTTGCACGCGAGCAGATAAGAGCGAACAGTCTAAACATGATTGCTGAGTTTCCAATATGAAGGGCAGCTATTGTTGATCCCCCCGTCTGGTGACCATTATTTCTCAGTTGACATGCTCCTCCCAGGGCTCGCACCTTTTTTTGCTTATCAGGGAAAGCTTGGTGTAATCAAGCTGCGTTGTTGGGCCCCTAGCATAACAGAAACAAAGGCTCCCGTCTGATACGTTTCCACAATTGATTCGGAAATCGCGGTCTCGTGCGGGACTTCCTCGCAATGTATGCAGGAATCGCGCTTTCGGGCGGGACGTCCTTTCAATTTGCCCATACCCAAAGCAGCATTGGGTTTTTGTTCTTCCCCATATCCATGAGGTTCTTGTTGTTACTCCGACCGCTCCGAACTTACCTCCTCCTCCTCCTCTTTCTCATGCTTACGATTATGATGATGCTGAAGATGACGATGATGATGACGAGTAGGTTGATGATCATGATGATGGCGATTGCGAGCATGGTATTGTTGACGATGCTGATGCTGATGCTGGTGATGATGATGGTGATGATGACGGTGATGATGATGTTATGATGATGTTGATGATGGTGATGCTGATACTAATGATGATGATGATGATAATGAGGCTGATGATTATGTGGATGATACTGCTGATGCTGATGATTATGATGCCGATACTGATGCTGATGATGATACTGATGATACTGATGACGATGATGATGCTGATGCTGATGGTGCTGATGCTGATGATGACGATGATGATGCTATTGATGATTATGCTGATGATGATGCTGATGCTGGTGCTGATGCTGATGATGATGCTGATGATGATTCTGATGATGATGATGATGATGATGATGATGATGATGATGATCATGGCGATGATGATGCTAATGATGCTGATGATGATGAATACGCTGTTTATGATGATGACGACGATGCTGCTGCTGCTGCTGATGCTGATGCTTCTGCTGCGGCTGATGATGCTGATGATGTTGATGTTGATGCTGATGCTGCTGCTGATGATGCTGACGATGCTGATGATGATGCTGGTGATGATATTAATCTTGATGATGATGATGCTGATGCTGATGATGATGCTGATGAAGATGATGATGCTGCTGATGAGGATGCTGGTGATGATGATGCTGATGATGATGATGCTGATGCTGATGTTGATGCTGATGCTGATTCTGCTGCTGCTGCTGCTGCTGATGATGATGATGATGATGATGATGATGATGCTGCTGCTGATGATGCTTCTGCTGCTGCTGATGATGATGATGATGCTGATGATAATGATGATGATGATGCTGATGCTGATGACGATGATGATAATAATTTTGATGATGCTGATGATGATGATGATGATGATGATGGTGGTGGTGGTGGTGGTGATGATGATGATGCTGCTGCTGATGATGATGATGGTGATGATGATGATGATGATGATGATGATGATGATGATGATGATGATGATGATGATGATGATGATGATGATGATGATGATGATGATGATGGCGTGGCACATTCTGAGGATGCCTCGAGCGAGGCGCGGGTTCGGGGCTGCGAGGTGTGAGACCGCCGCCACTTTCGTGGGCTCCTGAGAGGTCAAGGGTGGACTGGTATGGGAACCCAGTTGAGACCTCGCGGCTCCCAGGGCTGCGAAGTGTGAGACCGTCGACACTTTCGTGGGCTCGGGGGAGGTTGCGCGGAGTGGAGTTGTACGGGGCCCGGTTGAGGCCTCGCGGCTCTCTGGGGTGCTGCGAAGTGTGAGACCGCCGCCACTTTCGTGGGCTCGTGGGAGGTCGCGTGGAGTGGAGTTGTATGGGGACCCAGTTGAGACCTCGCGGCTCCCTGGGGGGCTGCGATGCGAGAATCTGTCGTCCCTCTCGAGGGTTCGTGGGAAGTCGTGCGGAGTGGAGTGCTACGGGGACCCAGCTGAGACCTCGCGGCTCCCTGGGGGGGCTGCGAAGTGTGAGACCGCCGCCACTTTCGTGGGCTCGTGGGAAGCCGCGCGGAGTGGAGTTGTACGGCGACCCAGGTTGATGCCTCGCGGTCTCTGAGGGGCTGCGAAGCGTGAGACTGTCGCCCCTTTCGTAGGCTCGTGGGAGGTCCAGTGGAGTGGAGTTGTACGGGGATCCCGTCGACATCTCGCGGCTTCCTGGGGGACTGCGAAGTGTGATATTGTCACCACTGTCGTGGTGGTCGAGGAGGACGAGGAGGAGGAGGAGGAGGAGGAAGAGGAGGAGGAGGATGCGGCGCAGGATGCGGCGGCGGAGGAGGAGGAGGAGGAGGACGAGGAGGAGTATCAACAACAATAAGAATAACATCACGAATGCTAATGCGGAGACTAATACTCATACTAAGAAGACGGATCACAACACGAAACATAAGAATACTAGTACGAAAAGAGCACGAATACCACTACTAATCATAATCATGCGAATGTTCATGATAATCACATTCGTACTATTAGTAATCGTACGGCTAGTAATAGTACTTGTAAGCATTCTACTGCTACTACTACTACTACTACTACTACTACTACTACTACTACTACTACTTCAGCAGCAGCTAGTAATACTACTAATCATAGAGGCGTATCCCAACTAAGCATTAATTAATACTGACACTATTGGTGATACTCTCAGACACAAGAGTGATATTCATAATACCAGCATCCACATTACTAATCGTATTCATACTTCTAATCGTGCTATGAGTAATCAAGCAGTTGCTACTACTACTACTACTACGAATACGAATGCCCATGCTAACACTACTATTACGAGTATTTATAATACTAACGGTAGTAAGGTGGGTCTTGATATTCTCAATAATGCAACCAGTGATGCTACTCCTACTCCTACTCCTACTCCTACTCCTACTCCTACTCCTATTACTACTACTACTACTACTACCACTACTACTACTACTACTACTACTACTACTACTACTACTACTACTACTACTACTATTACTACTACTAGTAGCATATATGGATACGACCACTACTAGCACTGATACTACTATCACTACTATTCAGAATCGTAATAACGACAATGCTCGTAGTATCAGAATTGTTAATAATACTAGTAGCACTATTTATACTTATAACATTTGGCACAGTATTAACAACCATTTCACTACTACTGCTAACACTAGTCATGTCGCTACCATGAGTAAGCAACACATAAAAACTAAGACGAACAAGCTTATGACGAACAATAATAATGATAATAATACTAATGCTAATAATACTACTAATAATAATGATATTAGTAATAATAGTACTAATAATAATACTACTAATAATAATATTATTAATCATACTAATACTAATAATACTAATATTAATGATATTATTAATAATAGTACTACGAGTACGAATAATCACACTCTTAAGAATACTACTCGTGGAGGATGAGGAGGAGGATGAGGAGGAGGAGGAGGCTTGGAGGAGGAGGACGAGGAGGACCAGTGTCAACCAAGAGTCATAAACGATGTTGGAATTCACCCTCCCCCCAAGCTCCCTCTTCATAGGCCCCCACAACCGTTCATTTTCATTGAGGGAACTGCCTCGTTGAAAGACAACCGTTTGAAGATCTTGAAGCATGCCAAAACATTGTTCTTGGGATTTCGACGCCACGTATCAACCTGACTGCTGCGTCTTGACGATCTGGAGTCGTGCCAGAGGCCATTTGTGGGACTTCAACACCGCGAATCAACATAACTGTTGCACCCGCATAATCCAGAATCCTTCCAAAACACAATTTCTGGTACGTTGATCATCGGAATCCGTGAAACTCTTGCAAATTTTGAAAAGGAATGTGCGGAGGAGGAGGGGGAGGAGGAGGAGGAGGAGGAGGAGCAGGAGGAGCAGGAGGAGGAGGCGGAGGGGAAGGAGGAGGAGGCGGAGGAGGAGGAGGAGAGGAGGAGGAGGAAGAGGAGGAGGAGGAGGAGGAGGAGGAGGAGGAGGAGGAGAGGCGGAGGAGCAGGAGGAGGAGGAAAAGGAGAAAGAGAAGAAGACGAGGAGGAGAAGGAGGGGGAGGAAGAGGAGGAAGAGGAGGAAGGAGGGAGGAGGAAGAAGATGAGGAGGAGAAATCATATCTCCTTCGTGGCCAGCGGAGAAGCGCCGGCGCGCAGGGCCGAAGCCGGGCTGGCCGTGCCGAAGCCCAACAAGGCCAAACTCGCCAGCATCTCCAGGCCAGCCTCGTCCGTCCTGTGCGCCAAGGACCGCCGCTCTGACCATGCACCCGCGGCGTGCATAGCGAACGAAGACGAAGGCACCGCTAAGGCGACGTGCAGATGTAAGGTGGCGCTCGGCGGTCATCGGGCTCTGCTTCCTTCTCCGTGCCGAGCGCTGATGACGCATTGCGCTTCCTCGCCCATTCCCCCCCGAGTCAGTTGTCCATGGGTCTCTCGGTTTTGGCCCCTGCGCGCAGGAGATCATCGCCCCCGAGACTCACCACACCTACGCGTGGCTGATGAACGAAATAGCTGTGCCGCGGATGCAGCTGGGGGATCTTGGAGGTGCCTACTCGCAGCTCGTCGAGGCTTGGGGGGATGATACTTATGATGATGATGCTGATGATGACGATGATGATGATGATGATGATGTTGATGATGTTGATGCTGATGCTGATGCTGATGCTGATGTCGATGATGATGTTGATGATGATGATGATGATGATGATGATGATGATGATGTTGATGATGATGATGATGATGATGATGAGTATGAGGAGGAGGAGGAGGAGGAGGAGGAGGAAGAGGAGGATACGGAGGAGGAGGAGGAGGAAGAGGGGGATGAAGATGATGAGGAGAAGGAGGACCACAGTGAACCCGAGTTGCATCGACGATGCTGCATTACACCCTCCCGTCCAAAGTCCCAAGTCTCCTCCTCACAGGTCCCTGCAAGCTTTCCATTCCCATTGCAAGAAGCGTCCCATTGAAGGACCAGCATTCTATGGGCCCGTCATTCAAGCCAAAGCCCCGTGTTGGAAAAGAGGTGCCTTGCCCCCTTCTAGCCGTTAGTAAGGAACGCGTAGAGGTACGACCATACAGCCCAACGAGGTGTCCAGTGATATCCACTTTTTGAAAAATCACGCCCCCATCTGTTCAACTATTTGGCCATAGTCGTCGAGGAAGTCTCGATCGACAGCCCCATCTTGAAAAGGAAACGACCTCCATCCGTGCAGGTGTACCATGTGTTCAAGCTTCTGGTTTGTATATGTGAAGCAGGTTTAATCGAACGCTCAATTTTGAAAAATCCACCCTCCACCTGTGCAGTTGCTACAGCTGTTCAAGTTTCTGGGTGTAACGATACAAGAAGCCCAAATCCAAAGCGAAAGCCCCACTGTGAAAAAGAACCGCTCTCCATTCCTGTAACTGCTTGAAGTTTTTTACACGAATGTGTGTAGGTGAGAGCCCTAAGTGGAAAAGAGATTGCCCTCCAGCCTCAAAAGTGCCGCATACTTTTACAACGAGTGCATGCGGCGCTAAGGTGAGACTCCCATTTTGAGAACTACCTCCCCTCAATACTCGAATATGTTGCAGACTTGTAGAACACATGTGCGCGGCGCTGAAGCGAGAGTCCCATGTTGCAAGCCACCCCTTCTCCAATTTTGATGATGCTCCAAGCGCCTAGGACGAATATTCGCGGCGCTGAGGCGAGATCCCCATGTTGAAAACCATGCCTTCTCCATTCCTGAAACTCTTGCAAGCTTTGAAGACAAATGTGCGCGGCGCTATGCGCTAAGGCGAAAACTCCATTTTGAAAACTACCTCCTTCCATCCTTACAGCTGTTGCAACCTTGAAGCTTCAGGATCCTAAGTTGTGGGATGTCTCAGGCGAAACGCACGGTCCGCCCTACCGACGCGTCTGGGGGTGCGACAGGGAGAAGTGATGTCTAAGGAAAAGGCTGGAGGAGGAGGAGGAGGAGGAGGAGGAGAAAAAGGATGGAGGAGGAGGAGGAGGAGGAGGAGGAGGAGGAGCAGGGGGAGTAGGAGCAGCAGGAGCAGGAGCAGGAGCAGGAGCAGGAGCAGGAGCAGGAGGAACAGCAGCAGCAGCAGCAGCAGCAGCAGCAGCAGCAGCAGCAGCAGCAGCATCATGTTCTCATGAGGAGCGAGGGTCGTACTGCTGGTATCGCTGAGCCGGTCGAGGGAGAAGGGCACGCCCCTGCCGCGCCCCTCAGCCCGAAGTCGCAGGGCCTGGAGTGCCGCCGCCAGGATCAAGCGCGACTCCCGGAAGCGACCCATCCCCAGACATGCTCGCGTGGTGAAACAATCACGACGGGAAGCTTCTCGTTCTGTTCTGCCTTTGGGGGCCCTCACCGGGTTCCGGGGCCTGGGGAAAGGGTTGGGGTTTCGGGGACGACGTGCTGAAAAAAGCAAGACCTGGCATGTCTAGGTCTGTCGCTGCTGTTGCACTGGTCTCCGATACCTGAGGCCGCCTGCGTACTCCTCTTGGCGAAGGCTCTCTGCGCCTGAGGCCTCCTCCTGCGTTCCTCCTCCGCGGCCGCCCTCCCCCCCCCCCGAGTCGCAGTTGTGTGTGTGTGTGTGTGCCGCTGGCTATCCAGCGCGGGGGCGTTGGCGTCCGCCGTCGCTGCTGACCGAGGAGCCGTCAGGGTTCCGTCTGCGTCGGCAGCCGCACCTGCCAGGTGCCTCCGCTGAGGTCGACTGCACGTAAGAGTGACTCTTGGACGGAGTGATTTTTGGGGTGGGCTCATCGGGGCCCCCCCGACTGCCGAGCGCGATGCGACAGCGGCTGACTGCGCGCCTGGATTTGGCCACTTTGCGCCCCTTGCGTCCGCGCACCAAAGGGCACTCTTGTCTAGGTAGGGAACCGAAGTTTACACACCGACGTTTTTTTTTCTGGCCATGCTTTGAAATTTGCATAGGACAGCTGATCCTAGTGTGTACGGGGCCCTGGTGTGTACATTTCTCGTTATTTCCCTGGGGAAACGAAAGCAACAAGTATACACCACACCACCCCGACGTTGTCCCCGACCCTCGAAAAATCCTTGGGTTCAAAACCAGCCCGCCACGGTTATATATATATATATATATATATATATACATATATATATATATATATGTGTGTGTGTGTGTGTGTGTGTGTGTGTGTGTTCCGCTTTCCCAGAAGGGTCCGTCCTGCGTGTCGCCGCTGGGGGCCCTTCGCGGCTCGCTTCGGCCCCCCCCCCAGGCTCCCCAGCGGGTGCAGGGCACCTCGCGCCAGCAGGCGGCCCAGGCCGAGCGTCTCCCCGCCCCCCCCCAGGCGACGGGGGGGAGGCAGGCAGCCGCCCAGCGCAGCACAGCAGCTGTCCTTGGGCATCGCTCGGACGTGTGCGTTTTCCTCGGCGAGGCCGGCGCCAGAGAATCCGGACCACTTTTGAACAGCTTGGGCCATCTTGAGAGAGATGCCACAAGCACGAAGCCAGACGATGCACCGGGAATGGACGTCCGAGCGATGGCAAGTGTCGGCTACACGTAAGAGTGACCCTTCGCCGGAGTGACCTTTGGTGCGGGCCCAGAGGGGTCCCTCCGATCGCCGAACGCGATGCGGTAGCCGCGTCTTTCGCGCTTGGGTTTGGTCCCCCCGCGGCCTCCAAGAAGCCGCGCACCAGAGGCCACTCTTGGCCAGGGACAACTCTTGCGTGTATTTGAAAGCGGTGATCTCGGGCTCGCGATGTTCGGAAGCCTGGCGCGCGTGGCGGGCGGAGGGGGCCGTCGAACATCGCGGGCTCGGGATCGTCAGCCGTTGTGCTGCGCGGCCGGCCGGTGGCGGGCTCGGGCCTGAGGAGAGCCGCCCGCCTCCGGCCGCTGAGGCGCCGCCGCTCGGGGGGCTGCCGAGCGGGGCCCACCCGAGGGCAGGCGAGGCACCCCGGCCGCCGGTCGGTGCGATCGGAACGGGTGCGGAACGAGCTCCCAAGGCTCCCAGGAGCACCTCGAGAGTTCGGAGGCAACTCCTGGGAGGCCAAAGTCTGATTTTGCCCTGGTCCGAAATCCGGCTTAGTCCGGCTTAATCCGGCTTAATCCCGCTTAATCCCGCTCAATCCCACTTAATCCGGTTTAATCCCGCTTAATCCGAGGCCCACTCTGGCGTAACAGCTCCCAAATGGGGCTTAATCCTCTCTTATCTTTCCGACGAAAACCTCCCAGTAGTTGCCTCCTAGCAAGAGGGCCCCAAGAGGTGCCCAGGAGGTCCCAAGAGGCGCCCAAGAGGCAGCGGATTGCCCCTGCCGCGCCGCGGCGGAAGAAGTGCGCTCAGACGCAGCGACCGTCCAGCCAATGATTCGACGGCGAGCCCAGGGGGAAGCGAGAAGGGGCGGGCCTGCTGAGGCTCGGAGGTCCCCCACAGAAGACTTCTCAGAGGGCGCGAGGGCTTCTGGGAAATCCCTCCGCCTTCTGAGAAGGCCGTCTCCCTCTCACTTCCCCCCCCTCGCTCGCCGCCGAGAATGGGGACGAAGACCGGCAGCAAGTTCCTGTTCATGTTGAGCAGGAATCGCTGGGGCTGGGATGGCATGGGCTGGGCATACCTCCAGGCCTCCCAAACGGGGCCAGAGTGTGGCAGGCTCGGTTCGTGTTGACGCGGCCGTGACCCCGCCGCGGGCGTTCAGGGTTGAACGGCGCTGGTGGCCAGTCATAGGCCAACATGGAACGATCTGGCAATTGAAAAGCCGCCGATCGTTCAGGTGGCATGATCCACTTGGTGTCAGGAACCAACGCGCAAGTCGGCATGACACGAACCCGCCGTAGACGGGGTCGGAGGATCGCGCCGCATCGTCGATCGGTGATGCGGCGCGATCCGGAGGTCAATTCGCTCCGTCCCAACGTCGCTGGTGCATCCGTGATGCATCGGCGATTCGGTGCGAGTCGGCATCTGCTCTGGCCCCGGTGGAAGGCCAGCGCGTTGTCAGCTCCCCGTGTAAGTCGAGGTTCGACGATCGATAAGATTTTCGGGTATTGTTACGTTGTTCCCAACCATCCTGTGGTGTTAGGTCCTCGTTCTGACAAGACAGCGCCCTGCGTTCTCCTCCTCCTCCTCTTCCTCCTCCTCCTCCTCCTCCTCCTCCTCTTCCTTCCTTCTCCTCCTCCTCCTCTTCCCTTTCCTCCTCCTCCTCCTCCTCCTCCTCCTCCTCCTCCTCCTCCTCCTCCTCCTCCCATCCCCGTGCCCTATTTCGGCACACCCCTCACGCGTTTCGTGGCCCCATGGGAAGCTCCACCGAAGGGCACTGGCGGCAGGGTCCGCATGGCGGCCCCGCGCCAGATTCAGCATACAGTTTGCATGTTTTGTGGCCCTACCAAGGGACTCCATCGAAGGCCTCATTGGCAGTTTCTGCATGGCGGCCCCACGCCCATTTCGGCACACCCCTCACACGTTTCGTGGTCACAGGGGAGCTCCGCAGCGGAAGGGTCCGCATGGCGGCCCCGCATCCGATTCGGCACACCCCTCACACGTTTCGCAGCCCCATAGGGCGGTCCACCGAAGGCCCCAGCGGCAGGGTCCGCATGGCAGCCCCGCATCCGATTCGGCACACCCCTCACGCTTCGC